TGTGGGGGTTCGGTATAACTCGCACATATAATTAAATGAGCGTGAATGTGAATAACAATAACAATTTATTAATATTAATACAGGAGGTTGATCAATGTTCGAAGCAGTACAAAATCTTACTGACTAAACAGTCGATGAATAAAACTAATATGAATCACCAAGCTGGTGACATTCATTGTTACCAACCTGAGATCCCTGACTTCACGAGTCTCCGTACGGAGCGCTGTGTCGTCATGGAGCAAAGAGGTAGTTGTAGAGTGTACTGAGGTTATGTGTGTGTTTACTTGTATGAGTGTAATCCCCACACATTCAAAATTCTATCAAATCAATCGTTGATTGCTTATAACATAATGCTCGCATTGCCTTCAAACTTATTCCATTTCAAACACTAAACAAGATAGTAGAATAGGAAAACCACAATCGTAAGCATGAATGTTGTGAGCACCTAGTAGAACGTACCCTTGGTGACCTTGAATATAACATTCTGTAGTTTTTAAGATGAATACAATTCATAGACTAAATCTATGGATTAACAGAAACAATGTGTGAGTATGTTACATCGCATATCTATGGGTGATGAAAACCGAATAATTTTTCATAATATAGGTATCTTTCTTAATTTAAATAAATATAAAAATGTCGAAGGCGGTTAGCAGACTTAAAAGTATTAAGAAAACAGCAGAGAAAATACAGCATGGGAAGCTTCGAACAAACATTCCGGCAGGTATGGCTGCAGCAGGGCCACCTTTAGGTCCTATGTTAGGGCAGGTATTGCCTATTAAAACTAAGGTGATTAAACGTTCATACAATCATTTTTCGTAGCGTGGAGTGAATATTGCAGCTTTTTGTAAAGATTTTAATGACCAAACAAAAGATATTAAAGAAGGTATCCCTATTCCAACTCGTTTAACGGTAAATCCTGATCGAAGTTATATATTGACCTTACATAAACCACCAGTGGTGCATTTCCTAAAACAAGCAGCTGGCCTTCAAAAAGCAGCAATGGAACCAGGTTTTATTATTTTTGTCTCATTTACTATTAATTGTGCAATATACAACATATTTTCTTATTTTATTACTATTGATCATTATAGGTAAGGAGATTGCTGGGAAAATTACTTTAAAGCATGTTTACGAAATCGCAAAGATAAAAAGTGAAGATCCAACAATGGAAACTAAAACATTGCAAGAAATATGTTTAATGATATGTGGTATAGCAAGATCTTGTGGTATTGAAGTTGTTAAAGAATTAAATGTAGAGGAACACAAACAATTTATAGTTGAAAGAGCAGCAATTGTTGAACAACAGAGAAAAGAATTACAGGAAAAGAAAGAAGCTAAAATGTTACGAACAGCATAGAAGTGTATATATATATATGTAGACATTGGTAATTTATTTTAAATAAAGTTAATTATTAAAAAAGTGGTCATAATTCTCTGTCATGTTGACAGTTCCAAGTTCCATATAGCTGACCAGTGTGGTATCTTTCTTGTAGGAAAACAATTTAATTAAGCATGAAGTACTTCAAAAATAGTAAAATAAAGGTACCTTATAAAATGGGTAAAAAAAAGCACTTTTTACACTTTCAAACAAATCTATATCTCTTTTTATTTTTGAGATGTACCACTTAAAAGGAAAATACAATGCAATGATTTATTATGTAAGTGTTGTTTTCCTAACATAACCTTATGATTTTATGCGTATCTGGAAAAAGACTGAAGTATTTCTGGCAAAATTTGTTTTGACTATTTCAATGTTTTTACAAACTTTCAAGTGATTAGCCAGTCCATGCACGAATTCATCATAATATTGGAGGTTTATTTTTTTGTTCCTTCTTCTTTATCTTTTTTGATTTCCTTTCCATGTATTTTTTCATTCTATTTGAATTTTTTAATTCTCCATACTTTTCGATAGCTTGTTCTAACCGTACATCAGCTAAAAATATAGTATTATGCAAATTCTATATGTTAAAGAAGCTATTTAACTTACATTTTTTCTTAAAAACTGGTTTAAATCCATTCATTAACAGCTCTTGAACTTCCTTAGATTGAGCTTCTTGTTGTTCATGTTCATGGATTTGATTTGCCTAAAAAACATTTTTTTAGTATGCATATTGTATAAAAACAAAAGTAGTATATCAATATATATA